ATATCGCAGTTTTCGTATTTCTTAAAATTACCGTTATATGGGAGGTAGGCGTGGTTATTATCCGATTTCGCCCATTTTCAATACCATCCGTCCCACGCCCAAAAGAAGTTCACGTACCAAGTTTCGTTAAGATATCTCAATTTTTACTCGAGTTATCGTGTGCTTGCAACAATTCTTTACCAAGAAATACGTTTATGACAAAATTTTGGAAAATGGGCGTAGCACCGCCCACTTGTGATCACATATATGTATCTCGCTAACCGTTCTAGCAATTTGTACCAAGCTCGGTATGGTTATTGTGCTTGCCACATAAAAGCAAACCGTTGAAAATTTTTGAAATCGGACTAAAATTGAGGCCGCTTTTCATATGTCGGTAAATTTCAGATATGCTTGAAATTTCAATATTTCGAAATTTAAGGACGCTGGTTTACTTAAAATGTATACACCCCGGCTTATCATGTAGCGGTAGCTTTCGGAATACTTGCGCCGGGTATTTAATGTTCGGCTCCGCCCGAACTTAGACTTTCTTACTTGTTTTTTATAAAAGTCTAGCACATTACCTAACCAGAACCACATAAATCTACATTTCAAACTTCTTACAAAAATTATAAAAGTTCAACAACTTTTAGCAATTACACCAAAAAATTTTAAACTTTTGGTTCAGAATTTTTAGGTATGCTGTTTTATAGTCCATTAAATTTAAGTAGGTAAAAGTGAACATTTCAAGACGCTAGGAAATCGCGTTCATTTTTTGCTTTTTTTTGGCTGACGGTGCTAAGCATTTTCTTCTATATAAAAGGCATTATCCTAAGATAAAACGTGGGTGAATTTAACCCCTACTTGGCTTCTTATATTTTTTAATAACTAATCTTTATATATAGACCACACTAAAAGCTCATTTCTTTTCAATAAAACCGTTTTAACTTGAAAATTTTGAAATGTTAAAATAAATAAATTAATAAATGAATTAAAAGATTATAAAAACGAAAGGGGTTGGAAAACGATTTATTCTAAAAATATTTTTAAGTAGGGTTGCCACCTGTTCAAAAAGTTAGTGCCAATTTAATTTACAAGTTAAATCATAACTTTTTCGTGAGTGTTGGCAAATCATTTTAATTAGTAAAATTATGCATTTTTATGATCACACGAGAGAGATTGAAGAAAGTTTTATTTTGACAATTTGTTTGACGAGGGTGCCACCTGTTTGGGGCTGCAAAATCAATATAATTAAAGTTTACACTAAATATTTCAATAAAAACAATGGAAACAAGTTGTATCTTTATTTTAACGTTAAAAACAAAAACAAACGAAAACGCCTAATTAGCCGATTAATATCTTTTATATTTATTCATTCATCAATTATGTAGAGTACAACTCAGGTAGATTGCTGCAATTAAAAACGTGCAATAACTTTTTTTTTTTGTCCTGCAATTAAGTATTTGTTATTCGAGCAGTTAATTTTAATCGCCATCCAACCCAAGCTATGTATATGGGCGCCTCACTCAGCAGAATTTACGAAATTCGCCATACGAAAGATTATCAGTGGTGGAGCTATACAGGATTGTATAAGATAACAGTGTAAATCTGAAATACCTAAGCCCACTTAAAACCAGGACTCTGTTAGACTAGGGCTCGGGATAAAAAAGGATAGTTAAACAGCGAGAATATTTCAGCTTGCAGCCGCCAAACTCTGTGTGATGTATGTACTGAAGTTATCAAATTCGCAAAGTGGCTGTGGTTTCAAAATGGTTAAAATATGTTAATTGCTTGTCACTAGGGTCACAAATCACTGTAATCAACCGACCCACATACAAATGAAAAAAGAGTTGCCCTCCACTCCAGATGGCTAGCATTAAAGAGTTTTTTTCCCAGTGACTTCATATGTACACATAAAGGATTATCCGATGTCCCTTCCGGTTGTTTCTTACATTTATTTTTAAAGTTTATAATTTTAACATAACGGAAATAATATTTTAATAAATTGATTCACAAGGCAGCAGGATCTTTAAATGTATGCTACATACATAAATTTGTACATAAATACATACTATTGATACTTATCCGTACACTTAATCAGTCTCGCCTGCCTCTACCATTATTGCAATGCCAGCATTCGTTTGAGCATTTTTTTTTTATTGCATAGTACTCGTATATTAAATTGTAGTGCTTGCTGCCTGCCTCATGCATTCGCTCGTAAATAAAAAGATACTCATGTGGGTGTTTGCATGTATTCAACAAATACCAAGCATACATTTCGACATATACATAGATGCACATACGTAAATATCTACATACATGTGTACTAGAGATGGGCGATACACGTGATTTTCTAAGTACAGTTTTTCACGCGCGAACGTAAACGGTTTTGAGAGAAAATCACGTAACCTCCGTGGTCGTGCGTGATAAACATTTTTGTATAGCGTGAACGTGTATTTTTAATTGAGACCTAAAATAACCGGGCCATTTATGAAGGTGCCACCAAAAGTCATTTATTTTGTGTTATAGAAAATAAATCAATTGCTATAACTGTTATACACAGTTTTTAGCTTTTCTGTGCGGGTGACACGTTTATTTTATTTGATTTTCTTTATGTTTCGGATTGAACTTACAAATGTTTAAATTTTTTTTAATGCAACGGAATTCGAGTAGGTAGATATGTATGTAAAATATACTGAGCAACTCGAAATTCTTTATTTTTATACTAAGTTGAAAGTATCTATTAGTTTTAAATCAAATCATAAGTAGTCCTTTTTAAGTACTGATTACTTTGTATCCAGTATTTACTGAAGCCAAGGTCTATAAGTACTTTTATACGTCTTGTTTCGTTAGGTGAAAGTAATGGCGTTTTCTCTCATAGAAAAAATGTTGCCTCTTCATTGCCCTCTCCTTAGTACACAGAGAAAGTGATACAGGTAAAACGCAAGTTTTTAAAAGAAATTGTAAAATAAAAGTTTTTGAAATAATTTTACTTCATACAAAATAAAAAATACAGTATTTGTATTTACGACTTTAAAACGAAACATTCGCAAAACAAAAACGATCGTTATAATATATTTACTTATTTACTGAGGAGAACAGACGAAATTAAAGAAATAACGAAAAAAATGCGTATTTTCAAAACTAAAATGAAACATTTGAGGATTTTCTCCCAACGAATTGTAGTGCGACACACTTTTCAACAAGTAAAATAAAACTATACACTTTTAAAATAAAAAAATAATTTATTTCCAGTCAATTAAGTATGAAAAATATTTAAAACTAAAATGTTTTGCATTAGAATTTAAGAAGTTACCTAGCTATAATGAAAAACATTTGTCGAAAAAATTGTGTTGATACAAATAAGTTACTTCAATCTTCAAAAAAGGTGATACAAACAATACCGCCATTCTAACCACCTAACTACATGGAAGGGACATTGGTGATACGGTGGACTTCTTCGACCGAAAAAAGGTTTGGTAAGAATAATTTACAGAAATAAATTCTTATGAGTTATTAAATAATAATTTAAAATTTTCTTGCTTTAAATTACAGGGTTTGACCAGCGTGAAGAAAAACTAGCAGGCCCAGCCATCGGCGTAGCCAGAATGAAATTAAGGGGCGGGGCTCGACCCTATTAAGCTGGCATTTCAGGGTACTATTTTGTATATATATGAGGAAAATTTGAAAGTTAGGGGGGGCTCGAGCACCCCCCTGCCCCTACCTGGCTACGCCCATGGGCCCAGCGTTGAAGTAAGGCGGGAACATCTGTATGTACATATGTATTTATGTATGTATGTACATAGTATTTGTAAAACATCTGTATTTTGTTTATTAAATTTTGTAACTTATTTATAAGTATGTATATATGTATATCAATATATTTTTGACAATGTATGTATATACCAAATGACTTGTTGTGATTTAATAACAATACAATTTTAATAGCATATTTTTAATATGAAGAAAAAACATTTTAGGATTCAACATGCGCATATTCAATTATCAAACGATCGTTTTTAAAAACGATTTGAAAATTTGCGTACCAAAAACAAAAACATGGATTTTGGAAATCTAATTGAAAATTTTCGTTCTCAAAATTTAAATAAATATTGTAGGTGCAAAACCTGGGTCAAAACGTTTTTAAAAGTAAAACGTTCCATACAAATTTGGAAACGAAAATTTCTCTGTGTATTTGTACGAAGATGTATTTTCTAACGCTAAATGTCACATATTTTTCTGCATGGCACTGTTCTACACTTTTAGTGCACTTATCGAGCAGACCTAATGTGTTCAATATGGACCAGTTATTTTCAGTTTCTGATTTTAAGCCAAAATCTACTTAATTGCAAACTTACAGCCGAATTCATAAAAAATAAAAAAGACTGTAACTGCTTTATAAATCGAAAATTTGTATGAAAATGTCACTTTATAAAGCCATTACTTTTCAGGTTTTTACTAAAGTTTGGGTTTCAAAATTATTTACCCCCTTCGACATTCTGTAATGATGTCAACAGAATTTTTTTTCCTTTCACATTGATGGTATTTTGTAATATTGGGTAGGTTCAGAAGGCGCAGTAGTTGAGCGCAACCGTTGCTTAAAAAATCAGTGATCGTAATGCGTCTTCTGAACGGCTTGATGCGTTAGCTGTCAAATTCAACATCACACAACATGTTGTCTTAAGTGATCAGAAAAATATTACGATCATCTAACACGCAACTATTCAGTTGATCAGAAGTACAAAACAACGCGTTCAGAAGGTGCAATCGCAACAGTTACTGGGCTGTTGCGCCTTCTGAACGTGCTCATTCATGAAATTTTTTATATATCTGTTTGTTGCCGGTTTACCCTGCAGGGAAAACGCGAACTAGTGAATAAAATTTCTAGTTTCGTACTAGATCTTTATCACCAAAAACGAACTGGTCCGATGGTAACTAGATCCCCACCAGTTCAAAATTAGCGAAATATGGAACTTTTAAAAAACTATTTTATTTCACTTTTTCCATTATTTAGAAATCTATATGTATGGTGACGAATTTAGAACTAGTTCGTAACTATCGAAAAAAGGAGGCAGTGGGGCGCTTATTTACTTTACATAGATATGTGTGTGGCGGCTGTTACGTTCAAATACGCTTTCATTCTGCACTTCGCAGATGCTTTTTCATAGTTTGGTAATACAAAACAAAAATTTGTGTTAACATTTTAACATCGAGCACCTCTGCAAACTCAGCTACAGCCAAAGGTATGTAAACGTACATTTCTCGCAATCATTCAAACAAATTTAATTTCAAATTGAAAACAAATTTTTTTGAAAATCCTTTAAAATCGCACACACGGAAGAACCGAAAAGATGAAAAATCATGATAATTTTCTCTTTTGTCTGTCGATTTTAGATTTTAGAACTGCCAGTTATTTTCATGCAAAAGAGATTTATCGCGAACCAGTACTGATTCGAAAAGTATAAGAAAAGATAACTGTTCGTGACTTACAAAATCATAATCGTGAGTGTGCGTTAACGTGAGCCAAAATCACTCACGCGCCCATCTCTAATGTGTACGTCTGCAACGCTGTCTGACTAGCGCGCTGAGTGAAGCACAGCAGCAGTGACAACAGCAACAGCAGTAACGCCCCCGTCACACTGAAGCGTTTGCACTAATATTTGAGAGCAACTTTATAAGACGTCATATATGTAGATACATATGTTTGTATGTAAATATTGCTTTATCTACATATCTGCATACAACTCAATTCATTTGTCTCGTTGTACTTTGAGGCTTTTGTTTATTTAGCTAAGCGCATGAAAAAGTGCGTTAGTTGGCGCATGACAAATGTTACCGCCATTGCAGCCACATGCGTCTGAGTGTGGCTATTTACATACATACACATGTACTCATATGTGTGGCTGTCCACAATTTGAGTGGGCAACAATTTGTTTGCATCGTTGCCATTCCCTTCACATGCAGCGCTTGCAACCCATAACTTATCCATCTGCATATCGTCGTTTGCCGTTTGTCGTTTGTCGTTTGTCCCTTTTATGCGTGCTGTCGCTTTGCCATATGCCTGTGCGCCCGTCAGTTTGTCACACCTCTATCGCAGCTCTCGAATCTGTCTGGCAATGCGTCTGCCTTACAATTTGAAGTGTAATTGTCGCTGCAGTTGTTGTCATTAGATGGCGTCACTTACGCGCCACACTTACAAGTGTGGCTCTATGTGGCGGCTGCCT